ACAAAGAGGAAAAATACTTTACATTAGTACAATAGGAAAAGGCTTCACAGTCTCTCAGGTATAAACCACGCTCACCCATTACAAACTCAAAGGTGCAAATATGCAAACCTGAGGAGAGAGCCCCTGGACCCCCCTGCTTGAGATAGACCACCAAGGAAATTGGTTCCTTAGCACTCATTTCACCATGCTCAGTTATCTAGGCACTCAGAGGCTGCTGCAGCTATGTGCCCAAGGGGCCTGGTTACTGCCTGAAGTAACAGGAGACCTTGGTGTCATCCATGTGGTGCTGTTTTATCAGGCCTACAGAATGCAAGAGTTGTCAGATCATTGAGGCTTCCACCTAGATTTTAGAACAAGGCTGGGAGGCCAGGCAATATGACCATGACAGAGCAGTGTGTGAAGCTATGAGAGTGAAGCTAAAAGTGCAGTGGAGGTCCTAGGAAGTTGGAGATACAAGGAATTTGCAACATGTGTTGCAGAGGTCATGTGGACTACAGCCATCAGTGTAGTAGGGGCAGAGTTACCAGAGCCTATTGGAGTTCACATCTTGCTATAACCTTCCCTGAATATTGGAAAGAAGCTATACATTTTTGTTCCGCTAGGATTTGGTCCTATTTATTTCTATCCCCTATTTCTCTCTTTTGGAGTGGGAATATTTACACTTTGCCATTGTAATATTGGAAGTACTTAACCTTCTTTCTTACTTTTACACGTGTTCACAATTAAGAGTCTGCTCTGTGTCCCAGTGGAGACTTTTGACTCTTAAGAAATGCACTACATTCACTTTGCTTAATGAAATGGACATGAGCCTTTTGGAGGCCAGGAATGAAATGATGTGGTATAGATCTAAAATGTGCTCCCAACGTCTCTTGTATTTGAAAGGTAATTGGATCATGGGGTGCTATAATCATTATTGGACTTATCCATTGATGAGTTCAGAGGCTAAAAGTCCACTAGGAGATGGGGCTTGGTCAGAGGTGGGTCACTGTGGGGTGATTTCAAGGGTGATAATAATACTGCCTCAAATTCTTCTCTCTCTGCTTTCTGCATACCCACCATAGTGCAATTTGTGTCTTGGAGCTAATTAACCATGGACTGAATCCTCTAAAAACTATGAACCAAAATAAATGTTTCCTTCTTTAAATTGTGGCTATTGGGAATTTCTTCTCAGCAATGGGAAAGTGATTAATACAGTAAATCTGCAAGATATATAATGAACATACAAAAATCAGTAGGATTTATATATGTCAATAATGAACTATTCAAAAAAGAAATCAGGAAAACAATCCCATTTACAAATGCTATAATGAAAAGTACTTAGGAGTAGATATAACTAAGGAGGTGAAAGATTTTATACTAAAAAATCTAAAGCACTAAAGAATAAAAATAAATAGGCCTCAAATGAATGAAAGTTATCCTGTGTTTACATATGTGAAGAATAAATATTGTTAAAATGTCCACACTATTCAAAGTGATCTATAGATTCAGTATACCCCTATCAAATCCCAGAAACATTTTTCACATAAATAAAAAAGGTAATAAAATTCACACAGAATCATAAAATACCCAAAGTATTTAAAGCCATTGGGCAATAGGAATAAAACTGGAAGCCTCATTCTATCAGACTTCAACATGTACTATAAAGCTGTTATAATGAAAACAGTATGGTATTTCTATAAGAACAGACATATAAACCAGCATAACAAAGTAGGAAGCCCCAAAATAAATTCAAGCATTTACAATCAATTGATTTTTAATAGATGTGTTATGAATATAAAATGGGGATGATAATCTTTCAGTAAATGGTGTTGCAAAATCTGTATATCCACATGCAGAATGATATTAGAGGCTTATTTCACTTTGTATACAAAAATAAATTTAAACTGTATTAAGGACTTAATTATAAGATTTGAACTTCTGGAAGAAGTCATAGGAAAATTTGTGGATGTTAGTGTCGGGAATGATTTTTTTGGATATGACTATAGAAACAATATATAATAGAATTTCACACTAAAAATGTTCTGCACAGCAAAATAAAGCAAAATGAATACACATCCTGTCGAATGGAAGAAAATATGTATAAGCCAATTATATGATAAGGAGTTAACATTAAAAATACATGCATGGTGGTGCACGCCTGTAATCCCAGCACTTGGGTGGCTGAGGCAGGAGGACCGTTGTAGGTTTGAGACCAGCCTGGGTTACAAAGTGAGTTCAGGGCCAGCCTGAACTGTATAGGGAGACTCTGGCTCAAAAGGACAAAAAAAAAAAAAAAAAAAAAAACAAAAACATAAAGAACTTAAACAACCCAATTGCAAGAAAACAAACCATTTTAAAATGGGGAAAGCACCCAAATTTCTCACAAGACAATACTGAAATGGCCAACAGGAATATGAATAAATACTCCACCTCAACAATCAGTAAGAAAATGGAAATTAAAGCTGCAGTAAGTTAGTACCTCACTTCAGTAAAAATGGCCATTATTAAAAAGACAAGATATAAACATTGGCAAGGAAGTGGAAAAAGTAGAAGGCCTTTTCATTTTTGGGCATGAAAGTTAATGCAGTCATTATGGGAAATACAGGGTTCTCAAAACATTAAAACTAAAAGTGTGATCTAGCAATTCTGTTAATGAGTTTACATCCAAAGGAAATGCAATCAGTAATTTGAAAAGGTATTCATATTTTCATATTAATTGTACTATTATTTACAAAAGCCAAGATATAGATTAATCTAAATATTATTCCATTGATGAATAGGCAAAGAAAATATACACAAAATGGAATATTATCAGCCTTAAAAAGAAGGGATACTATCACTTGTGACAATATGGATGAATATGGAAGATATTAAGTGAAATAATCTAGGCACAGAACGACAAAAACTACATGAGATCACTGATATGTAGAATCAAAAAAAAGTGAACTCAGATGTACAGAGAAAAAATGGTTACCAGGGGCTAGTGGAATGGAGCTTGAATTCTTGGGGAGATACTGTTGACAGAATACAAAATTTCAGTTATATATATTAAGTTCAAAAAATGATATGTGAGGTAATGCATGTATCAATTAGCTCAACTGAGATATTCTACAATGTTTGTTTATTTCAAAACCTTGCATGCAAAATAATATTTACAATTTATTGGCCAATTAAACAATTCCCTATTCCACCTAATATTAGCAATTTAATATACTGGATCACTGAATTGTGCAGATTTTTTAAATTTTCATATTTTTATTACACAATATAAAGTATTACTTTTGCTAATATCACTGTTTTAAGAAAATCTTCATCCACTGGAACATTATCAAGGTCATGGCTGCACTATATGTTTTTCAAAATTCTAATTTTGCCTTGAAAATTCAAATTTTATCATTGGTACAAATGCTATCAGTTGATTTTCTTGAAGTGACAAGCTTATTCCTTTTTTTGAGAAATATTTGACATCCCAAATACAAGTAACCATCTGATAGTTTATCAGTTGTTATTCAAACAAAATACTGGTGATTCCACGCAAGACAGCAGCTAATTCAGCTGACAACTCAGTTGTTTAAATGCTTTTGCTCTATTTCGACCTCCAAATGCAGCAGAAGTACATGATATATACTGCCAATGTACCACAAGAGTATTAAAAAGCTACGTGCTCAATGGTTGAGATTTAACTAAATGACTTTTACAGCTTACGAAGCTTATCCTAATGTGGGACTGCCCATCCCATTCTGTAGTGAGAGAGTATGGTGATGTTGAATACAGTGACTACTAGTAAAATTTGGCACTACTGTCTTGATTCAGGCTAAGGTGCCAACATCTTTTCCACCGTTGCTTTTGTGCCATCAGTGTAAATGATCACACAATGAACAAAAAGGAAGTAACATTTTAATATATTAGGAAAACAGTACTGAGTTTGTAGGGTTCCTAAAATGGTCTCAGGAACTCTTAGAGGTCCATGGTTCATATTTTGAGAACTGCTGCCCTAAATGCTTCGTACAATGCCTTGTATAAAGTACTTATTTCTATACCTGGTTCCTGAATAAATGTTTGATTATAATTTGGACTTAGAAAGTCCTGTTTGACTTGGCATCCAACCAGACTTTTGTTGCACCAAGTTACAGACCAGATATCTAAATTAAAAAGATTTAGAAAACATAATCTCAAATCCCAGCTTTGTAACTATTCAAACCTGCTCAAATTTAACTTTCCTCTAATGACATAATCGGCTTCTTTTCCATTAGTTTACTGAATGAAAAGGGCCTGGTGTCTCCGAATTGTGGGAGTAAGCTGTGCCGTGCTGGTGGGTACAACCGGATGCCTGGCCAGAAACTGGTTGGCTTGGCCAGGGCTATGACTGTGATTAGATTTACTTAGAATTTGTTATATTGGGAGCAGCATGACTATCCTGTTTCCCTTCTTGTGTGCCATGTGGAATTTATCTAAGTGCTGAGTTCCTATATACTTGGCAAGAAAGTGAGGGTTTCAGAGGCCAATTTGCTCTCTACGTGCCTATGTAGGACCCTTTTATTTTTATTTTCCTCTGAGGTATGTAACAAAATATCTTTCTGAAATCTCTAAGAGACAAATTCCCTCCCTCCCTCTCTCTTCTAGAGACACTTAAGATTTGATTTTAATAGTCTTGTGTGAAGCAGCAATTAACAGCATGGGAGAATATTTGGCCATGGCCCACTGTGACCTTGATCATAATCCTTCTCATGTCTTCTCCAAAATGTGCTAAGTGGTTTGAGTCCACAATTTTGCTCTCTAGTTAAACTGAATACCAAGGATGACTAGGGAAATTGCTTTCATTCCCTCTCATAGGCTCATCATATTTAGCGTGATATTAGGATGTTATTTCCTGACAAGAACAGCCTTCCTCCATTAAGAAATTACACAGCATATAAAATGGGACATATGGTACTAGGTCAAAAGGAAGTCAAACTACAAATAAAATATGGATTGTTGAAATAGAAAGAAAAGTCAGAGTGTAAAATGTAGTGACATCTTACCATTTTCCACTGGGTTTCATTTATTTGTTTGAATTGAAGTTCATATTCCAGCACTATCCATCCCTTTTTAACATCTGCATTGGTTGGTGGCTGCCATCTCACTTGAACATCCCCATAAATTGCTGTTGCACTAATGTTTATTACAGTCCAGTTGAGGCCAGTGGGTGGATCAGGTTGCGCTGTGCGAGTCAGCAGATTAATTAGCATCCAGAGACACAACTTAATATCAATGCAGTACTTTCCTCTGAAGACATCAAACTAATTTATACATTTTGATCATTTACACTTAATTCTTCTAATATTTCTATTATTATAACTATCATCTTATAAAATAACTTCTGAAATTAAGGATAATATATTTTTAGCTTTTAAAAAAGCCCCTCCCGCCTGGCAAGTGCAAGGTCGTGAGTTCGGTCCCCGGGAACGGAGAAAAACCAAAATAAATAAATAAATAAAATAAAAAAGCCCCTCCCAAAACTCTTTTTTGAGCCTAAAACCTCATTTTTAACTTCTTTTTGAAGCTTTGTCATGTTTTATATTTATTTTAGTTCTCTTAGCATTAATGCTTTGGGGTTTTAGCAGAGAAATTTAAACTCAAAATGGAAGGAATGGAAAATCCGATATACCTCAGAATTTAAACATGGGCTGTTCTGGGACTAGATGCAGAGGAATCTTTTCTTTTCCAAACAGTGTATGACCTGGGACAAGGACCTTTTCTTACGTCTTTTTATACTATCACCACTATAATCTTTTTAAACATCCTGCAAATAATCCTTAGCTTTGTCATCTAGTCATGTGATTATTTCCTCAGACAAAAGAAGGATGGTATTACTGTGTTCTCTTGAAATAGTGGTGATTTAATGTTTTCTGTCTTCTGCTCACCTATCATGTAAACAATATGAAGTACTGTTTTCCTCAGTTTCTATTCATATAGTCTACATTTTTTTTTTTTTTTTCTGGTACCGGGAATCAAACTCACGACCTTGCGCTTGCCAGGCAGGTGTTGTGCCGCTGAGCTAAATCCCCAGCCCCTACATTTTTAGATAGATCAGCAATGTTATTATTTGGGCCATAATACCAGTTTCCCAAAGGTTTCTGCAGAGAAATGTGGATTCCAAAGCTGGGAATTATATGTAGACTTATATTTTCAGTGGCCTTGAGTAAATTTCTGTTAGGCAGCTCTTATTACTGAGGCTTTTGCAAATCACTTGAAGCTACAGGGCAACAGTTACTTTCTTTTCTGCAATATATAGATGGTGGTTTACAGTGCTGCAAAGTCTGGGTCCCCAGTTTTGATCAGAGACAAACCTATAGATTTGTGCTGCAAATACCCAGTATTGACTAGTAAATCTGGAGGTCATGGGAGAAAGCTCTTGCTTTGATCAGAATGGAAACAGACCTATGATGGAAAAGCATGCTGCTGACCACAGTGAAGAAAAATGACTTTCAATATTTTTAAATGATAGATACACACATGACTATATTTTATGAATTAAATTGAAGGATGTTCAAATTACATATACCCACATCATGGCAGTAATACTTTGCCCTTTTATACTCTTTAGGGATTGAGGAATGTTGATAACTAAAGCCTCAAGATACCGATCTATAAAAATGTTTTTGATGGAAAATTTCTCAAATGTATTATTTATGTTGTGTCTTAAAATTTCCCCTTACTGTCTAACACTTACCTGCCCCTTTTTCATCTTCCCCGTTTCTGTTAATGGTGACTCTATCCCTCCAGTTGCTCAGCATCAAAACAATGTTCTCCTCCTCGACTCATCTTTTTCTCAGGGCTGCATATTCTGTAGCTGTAGTTTCGAGATGCATACAGACTCCAACCACTTCTCTCTGCTGCATGACTATAACTTGGTTCTAGTCACTATCATTTTCCCCCCTCCTGCAGCACTAGCGTCCTCACTATTCTCCTCCTCATGTCTCCCTTCCATCTGTTTTTCACACGGTCTTCAATATAGGAGACACAGTGATTGATTCTCTCAACTCTTAAATTAGAGCCCATCAGTCATCATTTAAAATTCTCCAAATGGGGCAAGGAGTGTTGCTCAGCAGTAGAGTGCTTGCAGAGCACCTGTGAGGCCCTGGATTCAATTCCCAGCAGAGGGTGGAGGGTGGGGCTCCAAGGCTACCTATCTCAGTCCATGTACAACCAAAGTCATTTCAAACGCTTGAAAAGTTCCGTGATCTCTCCATCTGGTCTTTTCCTGGCCCTTCCCTCAGAAATACAATTATTATCTTATTTCCTTCTTTACTCCAATGTCACTGTCTCATTGATAACCCTACCTAAAACTGCAACATCTCTAACACCTGATTCTCCTTCCCTACTAGTCCTCCCCACCATTGTCTTTTTCCAGCCTCACTGGGATTAAATCCTACTGGGACAGACTTTTTTTTAGCACACAGAACACTGCCTGGCCGCAGGAAGAAACATGACAAATACTTGCTGAATGGACTAAATGAGTGACTAATATATTACTCAAATCCATGAAACAGCTTGTGACATAGTAGAATATTTACATAATATAGGAAGAAACTGTGGCTTATGGTGATTGACATCTTTCTCAAGACATATCAGTTCTTTGCACTCACTTTCTGCTCCTCTCTTCTGCTTCTGTGCTATTGCTGTAACTCATCTTCTAATCTCTCCATCTCTGGTCTGTCCTATTCTAATTTTCCATCTGCATATAGCAAAATTAATGTCTCTGAGTAGCTAATAACATTACAGTTGGTACTGGATAGGCTTGAGATTAAGAGCATGGAATCTGTAGGCTTAAATCCTAGCTCATTCATCCTGAGTAACTCATTTAACTGCTCTGAGCCTCAGTTGCATCATCCATAATATGAGGATTAAATAGAACCTATCTCACATGGTTATTATACGCAGTGAGTTCCTTGCGAGTGTTATTAATAGCCTCTGCTTATTTCTCTGCTTAAGCACCTGCAAATGCATGTTTTGGCAGTAAGGTAAAGCCCAGATTCCTTTGTGAAGAATGTAAGAAAACTGACTGTTTCTTTAGTTACCAGTAGGCCTGTCCAACTCTTCCTGAGTCCCTGAAATTTTTGTGTGGTTTGCCACTTTTAGAACTTGGTAGTTGCTAGAAGGCCCAATCCACTACGAGAACTGGCAGTTCTCACTCACATTTTAAGGGGAAAATGAACTGCCACCATCTTTGTGCAGCCCTTCCTTACCCCTCAGGCCTATTTAACCATTCATGTCTTTGGGTACCACCTTGGTCAGTATGTATTCCACTTACCTGAAGTCCAATATTCCTCAAAATGCATTGTAGCACACTGTACTATGATGGTTTGTGAATATGCCTGGATCCCTTACTTGACATAGCTTACTCACTGTACACCTGCAGGCACTCAGTGAAAGTCAGCCAGGTAAATGAGGAAAGCTGGTTACTGGCAGGGTCAGGGTTAGAATACAGGTCTTAACTCTATATTATTACAACTACCCTATCCTATTATCCCATTTAGCATCACCACTGATGGAACATATACTAAATAGTTTCTGTAAACTAGGCCCTTAAGTTATCTTTTCTGCTTATTACAGTTTTCTCATCTTGTCTGTCAAAGTCAGGTTATCAGATTTTACTTGTTTCTGTCTGCAGCATCAAGCCAGATTCTCCCAGTGTCTCTATCTGCTGATTATTGGGAAATCACACATAACAGCAACATATCTGGGAGGAGGGACATGGAATTCCTAAAAGCAACAAATGAGCTCTTGTCAGTGGATTTTCAGGCACCAAGTTCAGCTACTGAAAGTCCTTCTTTGATCCTTTTCATTTTTCTATTTATACTATTAGAGTATAAACACAGATATTCCAATTTTAGTTGTTTGTTTTATTTTTCTCTTGTGTCCACATGATGGTAAAAGGGACATCTGTGTGGATCTTTGACTTAGTTCACTGAACTGCCAGTGTTTGTTTTGAGATCTTATAAACATGTCTTTTGACTATGACTGTTTGATAAATGTAAAATTTGAGAATCATTATGCTTTGTGATAAAGAAAACCTAGGCTTTGATTATACCAATGAATATATTTCAGTAGAGCTAAAATACAATTGTGTAAATAATTGGGAGAAAAAGAATCTTAAAGAGTACACTGAATTTGCCCCTTGCAATGGCACACAAGAATGCAATCCAGCTTTGAAGACTTCCTAAAGAAAAAGACTTCCACTCTTTTCACAACACTTTTCTTCATGACATCTATTACCAGATTTTTTAATGTTAGAGTCAATTTAACTTTTTTCTGCTCTTTCCTTTCATTCACCAGCTGACCCTATTTCCTGTAAAATAGACTCCATGTACCTAAAACTATTCCAAAATTTTTTTACTTGATTATACTTGGAAATTGAGGGCTTCCTCACTTATACTGTCTAAAACTATGTCAAATGAAACAAAGCTGATTTACCTATTTGATCAATAGAGAAACACTTTTGATCCATCATACCACCATTATTAGTTAGCTTTATGCAGTAGGGTGTCCAAACGGAGGTATACGATGAGTTAAAGTAACAGCTATTTTCTCCAGCAGAGACATAATCAGGGCATTCTTTCCATTCTTGGTTCTCTTTGTTAGTCCTGAAATGGAGAGTAAAAGAGGATTAATCATCCCCCAAAACATGTTATAATTTAAGTCAAAGTGAGTGCTTGACAGATTCAATGAATAACGACATAGTTATGTTATGACAAAATATTTTGCATTTTAGCAACACTGTCTCCAAGAAGTATCACATGTATGGACAATGTCATTACTGCCTGAAGACTGTTAGGAGGTGATTTGATACTTGTACCTATTGTGAAAGCATCCATTTATTGAGTGCCAATGTTGTGCCACCTGCTAAATAAGCAATTGCTATGGTAGGTACTTTATTATTTGCATTCTACAGATGAAAGTTCTGGGGCTTGAGGAGGCTTAAAAATGTTGCTTTATTAAAATAGTGCACAGAGCCAACTCCCAAATCATAGAGAGTCCCAAAGAACGTAAATCTTTGTACTTATGTTTTTTTCCAACTCGTGGTGAAAGAAACACAAGAGGCATGCTGATGGTGTGCTGCATGCTGGGTCATACATTATAGCCACCTCTAGTGCTGTACAGATTTAATGACAGATTAAGATTTGGTTTCTACCTGAAAGCCAGCAGAAGACTCAGACATAAACACCTGAGTACTTTTTTTGGTCTCTTATAGTCATTCTATTGATATTTAATGAGAACTAATTACATATGAAACACCCTGTTAGACACTATGGGAGACACATAAGTGCCTAAGGAGAAACTTCTGTCTCAAAAGAAAAGACAAAAACTGTATTTCAAAGCAGTGTGGGCAAGCATACAGAGGTAGTGCTCAGTGGGGTCTTCCAGAGTACAGAAATAGAAATAATTATTCTGTTCATGGAATTGTTTTTAGCAATGCTGAAAGATGGGTAAAAGTTTAACAGATGACAATAAGAAAAGAAAAGGAGAAAACAGAGCAGTCAAATGAGTTGAGGAAAGAAGTATGGGCATAAGTGAGATGAGTGGAGTAAGAGGAATGATAGAAAAGACTTGTAAAATTGGAATTGCTACTTAGGTGGGATAATACTTCACCCCTTTATTATTTACTGTTTTATATCTGTTGAGAAGAGAAGATATAAGTAAATGGGGCATAAAACAATGAAATCTTAGGAAAGAAGGAGACAGGAATGATACTAGTGCCTGTGGCAAGCAGATGCCTGTGGAGATTTGGGACCATTCCACTGTGGGAAGGTGCGGGGCAGCAGTGGGAAATGAGAACATTGCAGGCTATGAAGAAGGCCAAGCCTGAAAAGAAGGAATGAGAAGTAGTGTGAAGATACATGCTTCCCTCTCTACAGCTGTTTATCAAGCTGATCTCTTTGGCACTAGGAGGAAACTTGTGCAGGATTGGGTGGTCCTTTGGACAGCTGTTCATCAGCTGTTGGAATAAACTTTAAACAAAATGGAAGATACTCCAAGGTCTGAGACAGTGAACTGTTGCTTAAATTCTAGCTGAGATTCTTAAATATTACATGTCCTTGGATGAGAGGAAGAATCACCCCTTCTGGGAAAAATGAGTTAAAGGCAAAAGAAGGGATAATATGTTTGTGTGTGCATGTGAATGTATATTTAGAGTAATAGAAAAAAGATTAAAATATTAGGGAGTTAGGTGAGACACTGAATTGCAGTATTTTAAAATTTGATCTTGGGTTTCAAATTAAGAGTGCATAATGGTTAATAAAATCATCAATGACACAAGAGTTTCATATAATTGTAGGGAAGATATCCAAATTACTTGGAAAAATTTATAGTCTAAAAGTTAGAAAACTTAAAGTATCAAGATATTCCAAAGATGTACAGTAGTGCTTAGCAAGTCTGGATTTGTAATAGGGAGGCTAGTTCTGTAATGTTTAACAGTTTCTCAGTTTTGGCAATGTTACCATAAGGTTCCCATGAAGACTGGGGAACCCTGTCTAGGTTCACTTAAATCCATTAGCTCCACAGGACAAACTACTTAATTTAGCAAAGCTGAATAAATATTTAAAACTTATTCCTGAAACTAATAAATCTAGACCTCTGCAAATAAATGGACTCCAAAACAGGTACTTCATTACCAGCTTCACTGGATTATATTTCTCTACAGGAGAACAAAGCAAATTTATAGAAATTACTCTTTCCTCCCAAAAGATAAATGCTTTAGGTTTGCATCTAGACTATGTTACATAAAGAGTCATAACATAGGAGAACATCATCAAAAATCAGAGAAAAGACCAGAAGAAATATTTTACATCTAAAGGAAACCAATTGGAGAAGAAATCATAAAAATAAAACACATATTTTAAGGGCAACTGTTTTCATTACATATATCTCAATATAGCTCATACTTTTTTCTTTTTTTTTTTTTTGGCTTAACATGTAACCTTCTGGGGAAAAAATGTAACAATGCACCTGCCTCCATCTAATTTCCCTTACAACCTTGCATGAAAAACAAAAACTTCTTTTTAAAAAAAGACCAAAGTAATCTTTGCAGGAGGCTACTGTAGAAGATGGCAGAGGTGGGGGAGGCACTATTTAAAAAAAAATTTTTTAATCTTAAAAATTAAAAAAAACTGACAAAACAACAAAGGAGACAAAATCAAAACAACACAAAAATATCAAAAATGATACATGACCTCAAGACAAAATGATAGAAATTCACAATGGTTGCTCTATTACATGCTGTTATCTTCAGTGAAGGTGCTCAGTCCAGTAGACATAAAAAATGTAAGATTGATCAAACAATCAAAGACAGTATCAAGTAAAAATAAATAAATAAAACTAAAGTTAAAAAAAAAACCACTGGAAATGATGCAGAGTGGTGCACACCCTGTGCCGAGTGAGCATGTCTTCCAACAGCTCCTGGTCCCGTGGTTCGAGTCTGTGCTTTACTCACACCGACATGGTTCCCAGCTAAAATTCATGGAGAGAGCCAGGTATTTCCCATCTACGTCCTGGGGTCAGAGTGGGCGACCCAGGACCCCACCACCATTACAGACTGAGTCTCTGCCCTCTGGACACCCAAGGCAGACAGGAGGTCCTCACTCAGAAGCCCCAGGGACTTCTATGGCTTGGCGGGGGGATGTGTGTGGCCTCTCCCTGCACACACCATGCACTGAGTCAGCGAGTGCTCCAAGAGCTGCTGGTCCCGTGGTTCGAGTTCATGCTTTACACCCACCACAGGGTTCCCAGCTGAAACTCACAGAGAGAGCCAGGTATTTCCCATCTATATCCTGGGGGCAGATCAGGCGACCCAGGACTCCACCGCCATAATAGACTGAGTCTCTGCCCTCCAGGCACCCACGGCAGACAGGAGGTCCTTACTCAAAAGCCCCAGGGACTGCTCTAGCTGCGGGGAGGCGCATGTGGTCCCTCACTGCATGTGCCCTGCACTGACTGAGCAAGTGCTCCAAGAGCTGCTGGTCCAGAGGTTTGAGTGCACACTTTACTTTTGCCTGGGACACCCTAAGGGGTCCCAGGCACAGGTAGTCTGTGATTGCTGCCTGTCCGGCCTGCATCTGGCTCCTGTATGTTTCCTAAACAGACTGGAGACACAGAATTAGGAGGTTCACAGACTGTCGACTCTGCAGTTTGTGTCTGTGTTTTGCTTCTACCCTGAATTGCCTGGGGACATAAGTTCACTGCCCGGGATTGTCACACCAGTGCAACCCAAGTCTGGGCCGTGCAGGTGACTTAAACCGCAAGGGGACACTGGATCAGACGGTCTGTCATCAGCTGACACCAATGCCTGCATCTGAGACCTGGGATAACGAGATACAATTCAACAACTGCTGGAAAACCTGAGACAAAGTAGTGCTTCTCAGGGGTCACTGAAGGGCAAACCTGACCAACACAAAAACTAGGGACACTAGTGGCCTTTGCTATGCAGCTAATGAACACAGAAACTGAGCACTTTGCATCTGGTAGCAAACATGACAAAACAAAGGACTAAAATACAATCCCAGAAATCCACGCCACTCAGAACAAGTCCAGGAGACAACAACATAGGAGAACTTGGTAAAAAAAATGCCAGAAATAGCTGAAATGATTGCAACAGAAGTAAAAAAACAACTCCACAAGGCCATAGAAGAGATGAGATCAGAAATAATCTCTCAGGCAAAAAAAATGAAATGACAATAATAATAAAGGAACTGCTCAAAAAGTCTGAAGAGGAAACATATAAGAAAATAGAAGAACAAAGGCAATGGATGGAAGCATTAAAAGAAAAATATAGAAAGGACTTAGAACGCATGAACCAGATTCAAAGAGACTTCCAGGAAAACAAATCCTCCACTGAAAGCTGCCAAAACTGCTTGAATGAATCTGAAGATAGAATCTCAGACTTTGAAGACAGCATGGAGCTAGCGACAGTGAAAGAAAGGATCATGTAAAATCAACAAGAATCAAGGAAAAGTCAATTCAACAGCTGCAAGACGAGGTAAAGAGGAATAATTTATGACTTATAGGAGTCAATGAAACAGCAGGAGGCAACACAACTGACATGAAAAGAATATTTGCAGAAATGATACCAGAAAATTTCCCAAGCATGGAAACAGAAGGTGACACACAGTTAAATCAGGCACATAGAACTCCAACCAACCAAAACCAAAATAAAACTACACACAGATGTGTAATAGTTAAGTTCCCAGATCTCCAGCAAAAGAACAGAATATTAAAAGCTTCTAGAGAAAGGAAACAGATTACCTATAAAGGAAAGCTCATTAGAATCATGGCAGAATTCTCAGCACAAATCATCCAATCGAGAAGAGCTTGAGGCGAAGTACTGGAGGTCCTGAGACAAAACAGCTTCCAACCAAGCCTGATGTACCCTGCCAAACTATCCCTCAAATTAAACAGAAAAATTAAATATTTTCACGACAAAGAACAATTGAAGAACTTCTTGAGTGCCAAGCCAGCACTACAAAGAGTACTAAAAGATATTCTAGATGGAGAAAAATCTGACCAAAATTTCAAGAAGAAAAGTACAAATGAAACGTCAAGAAGAGCAAGCAAGTAAAAAGGTAGAAAAAGTGTGACAAGAATGCAAGTA